TTCATCAGTAAACTGCCTTACTTTTCCTGTGTTCCTTTCTTGTTATTATTATTATACTGCATACAAGTTATTGTAAGTGACCCTCCTTATCCTCGTCACTACTTCGTCAAGGTTAGGCTCGTCACTTACAGAGTACATTGGGTCAGTTGTACTCATACTACACTCTGCACTTCTTGTGCAGATTTTGGAGTCGGTCTTAGCGGCGGTCAGTAGATTGCTCGGATTGATTGCTTTACGGAGACTTGAGGTACAGTTGCACGGCGTCCGCAGCCCTGAAGTCCCCTTTCATATCTCCCTAGTTGTTTATTGTATTTCAGATAGTTGCGCTTTCATTCAGACTTTTATTTGTAGTATTCTAGTCGCTCGTGTACTTGTGACACTAGTTCTAGGATTGTATCTAGATATCGTTGTTGTTATGGTTTTCTCACTCTATTTTAGTTTATTTAGTTTCTTGGTTATTATTTAGTTGAGTTGTTAAAAATTGCTAAGAACTATTCTAACGTTGATTTTTCTAGCAAGTGAAATGTTACGCGTCATCACGGTCCCAAGGGTGGGAATTTCGGGTCGTGACAGTTTAGGTAAAAAAATACGTGAAACAATGAGTATCCATGTAGGAGTTTGGTTCTAAAACGGAATATTTTTGGGATAAAATAGTAAAAATTTTGGTCAAATTTAAAGTGCTTATAAGCTAAAAATTTATAAGTTGGAAGTGATCAGCTTATGGCTTATTTTTTTATTTATAAGTACTTGGCTTATAATTAAGCACTTTTAACTTTACCAAACGCGTAGATAAGCCGAAAACTACTTATAAGCAGGTTTGACCAGCTTATATGCTTAGAGAAACACCCTCAAAATAAAAAATATACAAAATATATATATTTTTTTCAGCTATTATTTTGAGAGCGACTATACAGTGTCATTCCCTATAAGATCGGTCGGCCCATAAAAGACGCTTGTGCGTTCTCCGGCCCAGCTATCCGACCTTTTTCCTTGGCCGCAAAAGGTATCTTAGGCTATCTTAATAGAGCAAATTTCATTTGTAGCCGGCCGGTGGAAACAAATATCATTCGCTAGCTATGAATTAAGAAATATAATTTATAGCCCCAAACAAATTATAATGGCTAGCCTAAATTTTCTCAAATGCGGTAGATTTCTTGGTCCTTCAAGAAGTGTTCCCTTTAGTTTCCTGTTAACAAGAACTAATCTCTCATAAATCTGTTAAACAGAAGAAAATAAAAAACGGATGCATTTATCTGGAGACCTAAGATAAAAGAAAGAGAAAATTTCATTTGCAGCCGGCCGGTGGAAACAAATATCATTCGCTAGCCACGAATTAAGCCATATAATTTATAGCCCCAAACAAATTATAATGGCTAGCCTAAATTAGCTCAAATGCAGTAGATTTCTTGATCCTTCAAGAAGTGTTCTCTTTAGTCTCCTCTTAACAAGAACTAATTTTTCAGAAATCTGTTAAACAGAAGACAATAAAAACGGATGCATTTATCCGGAAACCTAAGATAAAAGAAATACTAGTTAATCAGAAACAAAGTCATTCATACAGGACTTGGAAGTTCATAAAGTTCATAAAGAATTCAGGAAGCTTTCCAGTAAAATGATTGTCAGATGCCTATCTGAAACATGACAAGGAACTCCAAGTCAGTACGACAATGTTGAACATTTTTTTCTTGAAATATTATTGGACAATTTTGACTAGTGTTGAGGGCTAGAGACGAAGAGCGTTAATTTCATTCATTTTATACAAAAATGTGGTAATGATGGCATATTTGCTTTGATCAAATTTTACTTTTCAATTAATTTTATATATACATCATTAAAATATATACAAAATAGACTGTCACTATATAAAATATATACAAAATAGATATCACTATACAAAAAATATACTAAATAGACTGTCACTATACAATTTATATACAATAGACTGTCACTATATACAATATATACAAAATAGACTATCACTATACAAAAAATATACTAAATAGACTGTCACTATACAATTTATATACAATAGACTGTCACTATATACAATATATACAAAATAGACTATCACTATACAAAAAATATATAAAATAGACTGTCACCTTATATAAAAAATATACAAATAGACTGTCACTATACAAAAAATATACAAAATAGACTGTCACCTTATATAAAAAATATACAAATAGACTGTCACTATACAAAAAATATACAAAATAGACTGTCACTATACAAAAAAATATACAATAGACTGTCACTATACAAAAAATATATAAAATAGACTGTCACTGTACAATTTATATACAATAGACTGTCATTATACAAAAAATATACAAAATAGACTGTCACTATACAAAAAATATATAAAATAAATATTTCGGGCTATTAGATGTAATATGTTTGGGCCGGAGGGACATTTCGTGTGAATGGAAAAAAACATAGGCTATTAAAATTTTTAGAGGCTATAGAGGGTCATTTTCTCATCTTAATAATAGTTATTTGCCTTTCGTGTCTGTTAAAGAGATCTCACAAGCTTAATTCACACATGATATTTATTAATATATATTGGCCTAATATTCGTGGTTTATAAACTAAACTAAATGAATAGAACAAAACGAGTGAAGGACTAATATATGAATACTATCACCTCTTCTCTCTTTGCATTAACTGGTCAATAATAAATCATATAGCCGGTACACATTTTCTCTCTTTTTCTTAATATTAATATGAGCATCGTTTAAGTGGACTATATCTTCACTCAAGGAAGTGTTCAAACTAAAATGCACTCCTTGTTATCCTAATAGGATACTCGAGTTTCATTTATCTCTGGCGAGTATTTTTAATTGTGAAAGTAAAGACTAAATATGCATAGATTTATTTCTCTTAAAAACAAAATATACATATTGCAACTTACATTCTAAATGATGAATGTATATATATTTTTCATCCATTGATGAGTCATGTAGTTGATGTATTTTGTGTGTGTGCGTAT